ACACACACACACACACACACACACACACACACACACACACACACACAAAAATCTTTTAGAAGAAAGGTAAAAATTAATTACAAATCTTTTGTTTTATTGTTTAACGTATGATCTAGATAAGGAAGAGCGAGACCAGGCACAAGTATTCAATTACTTAATAGAATGGTCTCAACCTCTGTTTTATTATGCCGATTGTACTTCAACAAACGTATTTTGATGTTTTGATTTTTTTTTTATAAAGGAAACATTACCCACCCTCCGCCATTACCTACCAATAATTACGTTGGCTGTGGTCGTCGTAACATAACACGGTAGGATAGATACAAATGTATATTTTCTTTATATTTATTTTTCTTACTTATTCCACGACAGCGGTATCCCCGGTAATGGCACAGTTACCTAGGGCCTCAGGGTCAAGAAGCGACGCACTATAATTATGTAGGTAATTTGGAAAACTATTGACAAGTAGAGTCGGATTACATTTCTTGAAACATCGCGGTCCTTGCCCCTCGGGCCATCGCTCGTCGTCCCAAATACAGTAAAGTTGCAAATCACAACTTTTGAAAAGAAGAAAACTTACGTCAAGTTTCGTAGTAACACGAATACAGAATAACTTTTAATTGCAAAGTTAAGATGATATCTCGAGAAATTCACCATTTTTTCAACCATCAACGGACGCAAAGATCTGAAGGGCACTGCCACTGCGCCTGAGACATAAGTAGACAAGTCGAATGTGCTATTTCACCAGCACCCTTACCCTTCAAAACCAGAACACAGTAATGCTGATATTACTACTTGGCGGCAGAAATTATTACAATGTAACAATAGTTTTGTTAACTCGGCAACTTACTGCATACGTAATGGCCATTAATGGCAATTCACAACTCGCTTCACTGGCGATCGGCCACAGTTAAGCATTCTCTCAAGTCTGTATATTGTTTACTTTTATAAAATAATTAATTAATAAATCTCTCTTTATTGTCTCCAACTAACAAAACATCATCATCGTATAAGCTGGAAGACGTCCACTGCTGAATAGGCCTCACTCAGATTTCCAGACTAGATCATCGGACGCGATGTTCATCCATCGGTTCCCACCGCCCTTACTTTTACGGATTTTACTTTTGGGAGTAGACGACCAGACCATGCAAAACTGCTTTACTTAGAGAAAGCGTAGTTGTAATGGCTTCGAAGGTCTATAACAAACTTCCGATTGAAATAAGGATTTGCAATAATGCTACAGAGTTTAAGATAATGTTATTCAATTACCTCAATAAAATGTCATTCCACAATATTAGAGACATCATTTAAAAGTTGACATTGTACATTTTTTATTTTCTTTTTAATTTTTTACATTTTGTTTATTTTAGTATTGTGACTGATATTATTTTATTGGACAAACTCTAGGGGCTGCTTTTTGGTGGGTTTTCTTCTAAAATAAAGACATAGAACATTGCCAGCCTCCTGGACACCATAACATGATGATGGCATTTTCTTCCTAAAACTCTTGTTATTTTCTTTTCATGTGACACATTTACAACATTATTTCCTTTATTATATTTAAACCCGTGTATTGAAATAAGTACAATTGTTACTCATAATAGAAAGAAAATTAATCAAAACTTATTTCAATCACAGCTATTTACTCGTAGCTCGAAGTTACATACACACAACCAACACACAATGAAAGAATCCCGCTGTGGCAGTTATGATCAAACAAAAATATATTAGGACTTCCTAAATCAACGGACCATATTAACAGGGTTTGTGATAAGCTCCGGGGCATTGCCGGCTAAATTTAGTTTAATTAAAAACAAGTTACGGTATTACATATCTCGAACTTTTTGTGATGACAAGTAACGGGACTTGGTGGTCCTTTGATCCATAGCAGATGCAGTGCCACTCAGAGCCCGTTACCCGAAAGCTGACAAGTCCCATGTGCCTGTAATTTCACCAGCACCCTTCAAAACCGGAACGCAGCAATGCTCACGCAGTAATGTTGATTGATAACAAAATCTTCACGGCTTATTGACGTTCTTGCAAGTCAAAACGCAGTACAACAACAAGATCCATAATTTTAAAGTCTGTTGCTCATTTCCAGATTGTTGATGAACCGTTTTCCATGGGCAAAGATCGTCAAGATCAGCTACAACAAGCGATTTTACACGCTTAAGCTGCGAGCCAGCGAGTTCGACGAGTTCGAAACCCACCTCAGTTTCAAGTGGCCCGCTACAAGAGCCTGCAAGAACCTGGAAGTGCAGCGTCGAACATCATCATGTTTTTCAGGTATACTGCTTGGCGGCAGAAATAGGTAAGGTGGCAGTACTTCCTTGGACGAACAATTTCAAAAATTTTCCGCCAATTTTCACCAATTTTCACCAATTTTCACCAATTTTCTTTTTATAATTTAAGTGATGGCACGAACAAGTCGTGCGCCTGATGGCAAGCTACACGCCTGTCCGTAACAGTTGCAGTAATACTCAGAGCTTTAAATCGCAAAGATCTGACGGACACTGCCACTGCCACCTTTACCCTCCAAAACCGGAACACGGTTGTGACGGTGTGACCTCCTTACACCGTCATCTCTCCTCTTGCATCTTATAATTTTTTTTATTTCACTTGTATTTAAATTTTAAATTTGAATTGTTCCATCTTCCTTCACTTTCTCATTTTGTTTTCGTACCACGATCACTCCCAGCTCGACAGCCACAACAGTCAGAGCTGTTAATAAGCTAATCATATATAATAATTTATAAGTCTACACCCTTCATGTATCTATTTCTGTAATTCACTTTCTCGGCCCATTTAGGGGTAAGTGCCTTAATAATAAAGTGTAGGGAGTGTTTTATACTGTTGTACCTGTTTTTTTACATTTACCTTTATATTGTTACAGTCTTTCTTTAAACTTTACTTCTTTAATAAATTTTGTGGACCGGAAGTTTCCCATTTCATTGCCGTGAACCTGTTCACGGCTAGTTAGGGTTACAACCCTTTCACGGTAATGCTGACATTACTGCTTGGCGGCAGAAATAGGTAAGGTGGCAATACTTCCCTGGACGAACGAGGACCTCTACTGCTACTAACTAATCACGAAGTCAAGAAATTAATACATTTGACAATAAGCCATTCCGGTTCAAATCTGCCATTAGGAAGCTTTTATTGACATAATTATTAATCGATCGAAGTAATTTTTCGTAGTCTTTGATCTCTGTATTAATAATTATAACAAACTATAGTGGTGTAATTTCACAATATGATGGTAGTTGAACATCGTGACAATCAATAAATTTAAATTAAAATCAACAGTTATTTATAATTTATTTCTTAGTAGTAATTATTATGTTAGCTGTTACCTGGTTGTAACTATGTACAATTTGTCTATCCAATGGAACTTATTTTAAACATTGGTGGAAACTGTTTTAACTAGTGTTTGTTTATGATGTTATATGTTCCCCAAAAATATAAAAAAAAACAAAGTAAATAGGTAGCCTAAAGTTATTTTACTACGTATTGCTGCTCTGTGACACCCACCCACGGGAGTTACGCGCATATAAAGTCCCCCTATCTCAACTTTGGTTCAGTCGTCGAACCGCCAAGCCTGTGTTGCCGTCGACTTCGTCTCACGCTTGTGATTGGTGATTTGCGGCATGGGGACTTTCAGGTTTGTAAATAATATACACTTTCTACTAAGCATGTTAGGGTGTTGTTTTGTAATTACTTAAAGATTCTTTTGTTAAATATAGTTAAAAATCGTTATTAAAATAAAATTAGAAAATTCTTTCACATAGGTAAACTTCAAATTGTTATTTGAAATTTGTATAATTTTTACTAAACATTTATTTTATTTTTGTTAAGTATATTATTAATTAATATATTATACATAAAAGGGCATAATTAACTATTAATTAAAAGTGTATTAGAGAAAGGGTCAAAGCTACTGCAATTTCCTGGCTATCCAGCTTCCCGTAGGTAGGTATTCGCCATTGGAGGCGCCATGTTACATAAATACGTTTTAATGACATCATTCAATAAAAACAAGCCATGCAATGTACAAAACCAAATATTTACTAACACTGTGCTTTAATATTTGAAAGTTAAATGACATATCGTCGGGAATAGTGCATATCCCCGTAAAGTATCTGTAATAGACCTAATTTTTCAGGTGAGAGACGTAACGTTATTATTTTGTTATTTCAATGGCTACGAATAACAATAGATGGGGATCTATTGTAAATCACGCTAATTTGGTTACATACAAGTTTTGTTTTTTTTTTAAGGTCCCCTATTCTTAAGTCTGTTTTGTGAAGAGACAATTAAGCAACATTTCATTCCATTTCACATAATCCAGTGCCAGTTACGCGTAATTGCATCACCGACGACATTGATTTTTTCCAACCGCATACGAAAATTTTTGTAAAGAAAACCAACCTTATAAGTTTTATTGACATCGGTTAACGGAAAGTTGGTGAAATCCAATAAACAGAATTCATCCCCTAATTGGCTACCTTTTGAGGTGGAATATTTTCTTCAGATTTAAATGGGACCATTATTGAGGTACCCCCTTTCCAACAAAAAAAGAATCATCGCAATCCGTTCACAAATGTCACAGTAATCGCCTAATATATCATAAATGCAGTCGAATTACGAACCTCCTTTTCTTTTTTTCAAGTTGGGTAACAAATAACTAACACACAGCATACCGCATTAGTGCTAAGCGACAAAATCTTCCAGGCAATAAATATATCTATATAATAATAAATTATTAGACACCATCACATGCGTCGCTCTGATCCCGAAGTAAGTAACTCACAGTCCCACAAACACCCGACACGAGATAATGTAGAAAAGTTAGTATTCTCCACACTGACCCGGCCGGGGATCGAACTCGGTACCTCAGTGGTGGCGCGACACTGTGAAATCCGGTGTGCAAGCCACTCGGCCACGGAGGTCATAATAATTATATTCATTCCTATTATATCGCATCCTTGTTACAAATAAAAATATATTATTATTATCTGTTTTATACTCTCGTCTCTCCCAAGGCCTAAAAGATTAGTTTTATTTTTATTAATAGGACCACATCTGCAAAATCACAAAGTTTCAGGAGAGAGGGTAATGGATTCTACGAAGGAAATTAGTAAGAAGTTGGTAACTTTTTTATGTTTAAATAGGAGGGCTATAAAATGTCACATATACATAACGTGACCATTATATTTTTGTCGTTCAGAGCGAGACGCGTGTAAATTTATTATTGTTTTAAAAATTTAAGCACATGCTTATGATTTACGAAATGTTTAATGATAAAAATATAAATAAAAAGAACTAAAATTGTTTAGCGAATCAAAAATTTTAAAAAAGTACTAATCTTGTGTCTGGTGCTCGATGGCTTTAAAATTTATTGTGTGTTCTGTTTTGTGAAAACGGACCACATTTAAGTATTTTGGGAACAGCGGGACACGAAGTCTAAAAGCGTAGTTTGTATTACTTTTATGCCGTTTGTGATAAAAGCACTTTTCGACATATGATCACATGTGGCTTTGTTAAAGGTACAAGGCCACGTTATACAGGGTGTAATCATTAAGTGTGCCCAGGTGATAATTGAGTAAATATGACAGATATCAAAAACCTTTAGACAGATATCGGGAGTACGTTACCTAATTAGTAAAACTACTTCATTATCATCACCGTCAAGCCAAATATACGTGCCACTGCTGGGCAGTTTTCTTCTAAGGCGAGGGTTTAGGCAATCGTCCGCTATGTGCTGGCGCAATGCGGGTTGGGGGACTGCACACGTCTTCCGAAGGTCGTGGAACCTTCTTTGACGAGCAGGTTTCATCACGAAGTTCTCCTTTTTGCAGAAAAAAAGATTTATTATGTATATCTAAACATAAAACTGTACGTTACAAGGGCTGTTTCAGATATTTGGAACGATTTGCCCCCACCGCTAAGGAATACAATAAGCATTAATAGTTTTAAAGCAAAATATAAATCAACATTATAACGACGACAACTTGCTACAGAAAACTTGAAGCATGCTTACTGTAAAACTTTGAAAATAGTAAAATAACATAACACTCACGCACACGTATACACACAACTACACACAATGTCGAGCCCTATGAACTTGTTTACTTGTATTGTTTTTTCTTTCCTTTTTTTTAGACATTAATTATTATTATGCCAATAAGTATATAATCTTACCTGCATTTGTTATTTTGGATATCGTTACGAGCTAATTTATAAGGAATAGATGTATAAGATGAAAGCCCTGGTAGCAATGACTCCCGCTCAATACCATAAGGGAGTAGTGGGAGTGTCTCAATTTACTTTTACTGTTTTGACTTCTTAACTATTTATAAATTCTTTTAAAAATGTTATTTTGAGACAATAAATTATTTATTTATTATTTTTATTTTATTATTATTTTCCTTCACCGAAAACATCATGGTGAATTTCTAATTAATAATTAATAACTGCCTCCGTGGACGAACGGTTACCATGCCACTGCCACGCAGAGGTCCCAAGTTCGATTCCCGGGCCGGGAGAAATATTTGTATGACCTACATTTATTTCTCTCGTGAGTTTGGGTGTAATTTGTGGTTGTCTATGTGTGTGTCCATGGCACCCGCGACACAGGGTTTCCCTAGTGCGGGGCTATGTTGAGTGTGTGCGTTATTATTATTATTATTATTATTATTATTAATTACATTTCACATATAAATTCCGAGAAATTCAGGTGTGCGGGACCGGATTCGAACTTCGGCCTCTGGTAATTAGTCTGCCAAATATAACTTAAAAAAAATATAATAATGTCAGTACAGAGTACTAAAAAACCGACGTCAAAAGTCATTCATCCCTTAGAGGTGCAATATTTAAATGGGACCACATCTGAGGTACTCTCTTTCCAACAAAACAAGAATCATCAAAGTCCGTTCACAAATTATCGACTTGAGTTATCTCGTAACATATAAAAAAAACATACAGTCGAATTCAGAACCTCCCCCTCCTTTTTAATTCGGTTAAAAACTAGGAATATTTAATAGTTCACATTAAACATATAATAGGACATTGGTAGAGAGGTTTTAGTTTTTTATTACTCCAAAAGGTAAAAATAAGTTTATAGATAACGAAACTGTTATGAATAAAGTAATAAAACTTTTTTTTTATTGAATAAAAACAATGTGATGTTTATATTTACAAAATTTTGTATTTAAACCCATTGTTCGAAACTTAAGCTTCTCTACGAATGTCATATTAAATGTATGGGGGATATGCTCAGATAGTTACGTTTAACCATTATATGTATATGTAAGTAGCATACGAGTATGAAGGACAATACCTTTTAACTATAAATTTAGCTGTTTTGCTTTTTTATTTTATCCCACTTTAAATAGAAATACGATTATTGCTTGAATAGTTATGGTCACTGTCTGTCGTCTCTTTCTAATTTTCGTGCCATTTTCATAATTAAATTATTCGAGGATCGTGATAATATGATTTAATATACTTACTACAATTCTTATTTTCGAATACTTAAATAATAAAACTGCCACGAAAATTGAGGCTATCAGCGCAATAGTGGTGTAACTCACATTCATTTTTTTCTGCAATATTAATATAAATGATATTAAAGTACTTAGGATGCTATTTTCACGTTTAAAAACTATTTTATAATATTTTTTTTTGTATACATGAAAATAGCATACACGTAATACTTTAATATAATATAAAGTAATATTATAGAAAATAAATTTAACGTGGGTTGCACCACTAAATATTGCGCCATATTATATATATATAGATAGCCTTTATTGGGCAATGAACTGACCGGGTACGAGTACTCGGAAATTTGTGAAGTGCCTATAGCAGTCCGCTGCTGGGCAAAGGCCTCTCCCGATGTGAATAATTTCACCCGGTCCTCAACTTGTTGCATCCATCTGCTGCCAGCAGACTTTCGCAGTTTGGTATTCGGTCTGGCTGGTTCTTCAACAGATATGGCCAGCCCACTGCCAATTTAGCTGGCTTATTCTACCATCTATGTCGACGACCTTGGTTCAAAACAAACAAGTCATTCAAACCCACATAATATTATTCCTATGAATATATCACTTAAAAGTCCTAATGTACTAATGAAACGCCCAGTAAAATGAAAATATCGTATTCAAATTTAGTACATATTCTATATGACTGTGGGGTGCCCTAGAAAAATACTATTGTTTTAGGAAACTCAAGTATATTATTATATGTTTTACATACATTTTTATGTACGTCGGACATTAAGCGCTTTTAGGTAATTTTCTGATTATATTTCTCTGTTTAATTTTGGTGGCAATTTTTATTATTAAAATTTTTATATCATATTTTTTTATTTAATTTAAAATGCTTTAAGATACTTTTTTCTCACCATTGATATAATAATGCCCTATCTGCAAAATTACATCTTTACAGCAGAGAAGTTTAAGGAATTTACGAACTAAATTAGTCGATAACTTTTGTATACTTGAATAGGAGAGTTATAAAATTTCACAATACATTACGTGTTTCATGTAGTTCGCATCATTTTTATGACTTTCATGTGATAAAAGCACTTTTGATGTATAATCACATGTGGCTTCATTATAACAAGAGTGGATTTTTCAGGTTAGTTTTCTCTATCTAATT